GGGAGCACCGGGAGCACCGGGAGCAGCCGCTCGCTGCCCATCACGAGCTGCTCCTTCCCCCCGGGCCGCAGGGAACCACCAGCTTTTCCAGTCTCACTGGGGTGGACAGGGAATATTACCCATTACAGGGAATGTATTTTGGGTGGGAGGAAACACAGGATCAGCCTCCTCGGGGTCATCCACACGAGCTGCAGCTCTCAGGAGCCCAGCTCCAGAGGAAGGGGTCAAAACGCCGGGAACATCATTCCCATCCCCAGGAAATGACCTTCCAACAGTCAGAAATCCCTTGCAGAGGACACAGAGATTTCCCTTCTCCCGCTCCCAGAGGGACCCACGCTCAGGGAAACCTCACACCAAGGACCAGAGGCTCAGCCAGGGCTGGGTCTGGCACACACAAGCTGGAAGGCAAGACGAGGATGTTCACGTCGCCCTGAACTCACTCCACGGGGGATTTCACTGCCAGACCCCCGTGCAGAGCTCAGCCTGGCCCAGCAGCGTTGCCCAGGACCTGCCTTTGGGGTGAGAACTGCCCAAGTGTAGCCCAGAAGAAGCCCAGAGCCAGGAGCCCTTCTCTGCCCGCCCTGCCCTGTCTCAGCCAACAGCTCCAGTCCATCCAGTTCATTTGCGGGGCTGGGAACCCGCTGCCGGCTCTGGAAGGGGCTCAAGTGACCTGTTCCCGTCCCCAGGGCTCTGCTCAGCTCCTGCCATTAGCCAGAAGGGATTGTCAGCTGCTCGTGGCTGCTTCCAGAAATACAAACCTTTGGTGCTTGGAAAACACGAGACTCCCTTTGTAGGGAGAACAAAGGCAGAGAGGAATTAAGATCTTATCTCAAGTGCGTTTAGGATCTGTCCTCCCCGGGGCTCCGGGAGCTTCAGCCTGGCAGTTTCCACCTGGTTCAGCTTTGCCATCTCCCTTCCCGGGCTCCAGCACCTCCCTGCCAGGCCCAGCACCCAGACACCCAGCACCCTGACACCCAGCACCCAGACACCCAGCACCCAGACACCCAGCACCCAGACACCCAGCACCCTGACACCCAGCACCCTGACACCCAGCACCCTCACACCAACCTACCCGACACCCAGCCCCCCACCAGCACCCTGACACCCAGCACCCTGACACCCAGCACCCTGACACCCAGCACCCTGACACCCAGCACCCTGACACCCAGACACCCTGACACCCAGACACCCAGCACCCTGACACCCAGCACCCTGACACCCAGCACCCTGACACCCAGACACCCTGACACCCAGACACCCAGCACCCTGACACCCAGCACCCTGACACCCAGCACCCTGACACCCAGACACCCAGCACCCTGACACCCAGCACCCTGACACCCAGCACCCTTCCAGCAGCCTCTTCTCCCTTCTACTCCCGACTTTGCAGCTCATCCTGGTGTGAAACCAGCCCTGGGAAGGTGGGGTGCTGCTGCCTGGCAGACCCTCCTTGCACCCCGGCCCCTCTTTCTGCCACGTTCACGTGCCACCAGGAGCAGAGGAGGCTCTCACACCCCTGTGCTAGCCCAGCTCCAGCCCCCAAAGCCCAGGAGGCCACCAGAACGCGGCTGCTTCTCTCCCGGGGACAAAGACCCGCAGGACTCTGAGCTGCAGCGACCAACTCCTGGTGGTGGAGGCTGGGAAGAATAAAGACACCCTCCCCCCGCAGCAGTTTTGCCTCCAGCCACCCCCAGCACAGCACAAGGAGCTGAAAGTCCCCAGAAGCTACAGGGAAGCCCAGGCAGGAGCCCATCCCCCTCCCCAGGGTCTCCTTTAATGAGCGACAATTAAAGAAGAGCCTGAACCCACAGTGAAACCAGCGCTGGAGCCTCCAGACCACTCGGTGCAGCCTTATCTTGATGGTTACCATGGGAAGTGTCCCCTGAACGTCCCCAGGACACACAGAGCAGCCCCGGGTTGGGCTGAGCTGCCCTTGAGCAAGGCCAGGAGCTGTTGGGCAACCGTGCTCTGAGGAAGGGACCTTGCAAAGGGAGAGGTTTCAAAACCACCAGCTCTGCTGAACAGCAGGGTCCTGAGGTTCCCCCTCCTCACCCAGGCAAACTGCTTCTCAGCTCCTGACACTCTCAGGCTACCAGGAAGAGAGAGAAGGAAGGAAGGTCAGTGCATCCTTCCCAGCCCGGCAGGGAGGGAACTGCCCTGGTCCTGAAAAGTGACTGTTCACCCTGAACACACTCCAGCAAATCCTCTGCCCAGGCCCAAGGCTGCTGCAATGCCAAGCTGAGCCAACAGGCCTTCCTGATACCTCCCTGGGCAGCCTTTTTGCCCCTTTTCAAAGCAAAAAAATAATGAAAAAAAAGAGGAATTAAACACATTCCCCAAACGGTTGCCACAGCCTGTGGGCTCCTGGGGGACCCTCACTCCAGCCAGAGTTGCCACTGGATGCGTTTTCTTGCAGCACAGAGTGATCTGAGCACAGGTCTGCAGGTCCTGACAACAGCTCAGGGCATCATCTCAAATGCTTCAGCACAATCTCTCAGCAAAGCCCCACAGAAAGGGGTCCACCCACCCCAGCTCCCCCTTTCTGTGCTAACTTTGCCCTTCCAGCTGTTTCTCTGCAAAACTGATGCGCACATTTCTGTTCTCAGTGTTTTGGAGGAAGAGAAGGAAACCAGGGGTTACTCCTCAGCCCTCCCAAGGGAGCAAGAGCCAAACGGTTCCCAGCACAACATCAGGAGATGCTGGTGTGACAGCACCCACAGCCCCGTGTCAAGGCTGAGGCCTTTTGCTGATCCAGGGACATCAGGGTACAAAACAGGACACGTCTGGACAACACCCTTCTCAAACAGGCTCTTCTCTTCCCACCAGAGAAACAAATCCTTATCTGTGCCAGCTGTTATCCCTCCTACCTGTTTATTTCTGCTTGCCAGAGCTTTCAAGCCCTACAAGATTTGGGTTTACCTGAAATACTGGCCCAGAGAGCCCACACCTGCCCAGGTGAGGCTGCCATTGCACCCATGGTGTGGCTGGGAGCCAGCTGGGAAAACTGGTGCAAGGCAGGGAGCAGAGAGACCTGCCTGCTGGACCCTTCCCACCTCCAGGAGGTCCCAGCAGCCACAGAAGAGCAAACACAGCTGGGATGGGTGAGAGTCAAAAGGAGGGAGCCTCTCCCTCCTCTCTGTGAGGGTGCAGGAAGCACCAGAGGAGGGGAGAAGGTGGGTGAGGGGACACAGGGTGGGACCTGCACTCACCTGGCTCTGGAGCTCACTCTGCTGCTTGAGGCGCAGGTTCTCGGGTGTGTCTGCCACCATGGTGAAGGACTGCTTGGGGTAGTGTCTGTGGAGAGAAGGGACACCTGGTCACCCACAAGACATCACTCCTTGTCCTCTCCCACCCCCCCAGGACAGTCCTGAGCTTTGGCCCCACGAGGCCTGGCACCTTCCCCAGCAGCCAGAGGTTTCTCACTGGGTTCTCTCCCACCCTCAGCACGTTTGACTTCAGCTAAACTTCAGTTTTACCCAAAAAGGGGAAGGGGAGAGTTTTTTTTTCTCCCCAGGAGGACAAAACCATTGCAGGGCTGATTTCAGGAAGAGACCTTAGCACACGTTCAGTGTTCCATGAAACAGCCCTCAGGGTAACATTAGTCCAAGCAAACTCTGCTGAACTTTGGTTAACAATGACCCAGCCCCTCTCATTGTTTCAGCTCTGGAGGGTCAGAGGGAAGGGGGTGGTTTCACTTGCTTTTTTTATCAAAGTTTCAGCCACACAAGCCTAAAGTTGTGGTTTCCTGGTGCTGCAGAACATCATGAACCTGGTGTTCACCACGACAGCACCACCCTGCCCATCCTGGGGCACCACTGGCTCCATTATTCACCTGCACCAGTTCAACGTGTTTAGCAAATCCTCAGGACATGCCTGGGGTGGGAGTGTAAGGCAGGAGACCTGTGTCATGGCCTGGCCACAAGCCAGCAGTTATTGTTCTGAAGCTGTTTCTGAAAGCCCAGGCAGCCTTTGCTACAGGCAACATAAATCAGCAGAACTTGGGTACTGGAAGAAAGTCAGTGTCTCATCCCAAAGCTGGAGCCTGATACAAGCCCTGCCCAAGCAGGTGAGTGAATTTCCTGTGGCCATTCCCACCTCCAAGAGACGTGGAGAACATCCAGAGGCAAATCACTGCTGCTCCAGGAGGTGTGCAGACCCCCCTAGTGGGGCTTGACCAGACCCCCCAACAGTTATGGAGCCTCTCACAGGGTCAGTCCCACCACCAGGACACTTTCCCACTGCAGTCCTGGTCCTTCTCTGGAGGTCAGTGCCTCCTGCCTGGCTGGGGCTGCTCTCACCCATGGCCAGATCCTGCCTGGGCACCCCCCGTGCTGTCCCTGGAGGACTCTGAGGGTTGCAGAGGAACCTCTTTGTAAGAGGAACATTTCCAGGCTGCTCAGGCGTGGAGGCAGAGCCCTCCATGCACAACCATCCCCAGGAAATGCCCAGAGAGGGAACCTGACACTGAACAGATGGGAACTGCTCTCCTGGGGTGGCTGAGAAACCCAAGACGTCCCACAGCAGCACTTTGGGTTCATAAAGCAGAGAGCAGGCTGGGGAAAGCTGCCCCTGGAGAGGGTCAGAGGTTTCCCTTTCACAGGGGTT